AATGTAAGGAAAATCTTTTGACTAATTCTCTTTTTTGATTTAATTTTACCAAATCTTGCGGCAAAATCCAAGCGATTTCGAGACATAACAATGGAGTTTTATTGTCACGCCTTTAACGGTTGTAGGTTAGTTTAGGTTTCAGAACTGTTCAACTGCCTTAAATCTTTATTAGTAGTATGTTAATACATAATGCATTTAGTGTTCAACAATTTTTGCTAAGTGGCGGGTATTCAAAAGAATTCTCTGGAGGCGATTTGCTAGAAAGTTACTTGTTTACCCCTCTCCCCATCCAGCATTGACCTTCACTTGTAACTACTGCGAATGGTGGGACCTAAAGCGCCTTTTTAATTAAAAATTCAAAGCATATCAGAAGTGCCTGTGATTGGAATGTGCAGGAAGTTTGCGATTAAGACGGCGCATTTACGAGTAAATGGCATCGCTATGCCAAGTGTGAGAGATTTTTCCACTGTCACGAGATGCGTGGGAAGGAGGAGAGAACGGCTGCGATGGTGGTCGTGGTGGTGGTATGCGAACCCGATTCTCAGCCCTCACCTGACTGATCAGGTGTGGAACAGTGCGCAGACATATAAGTAGCCGGACGGAGAGATGAGCGCGCAGGTGAGAACCGGCGAGACGAGAAGAGAGAGCCATGGCTCAAGTGACTACACAGGATTTGAAGACTTACTTTCTTTACTACCTCATCTACAAGACCCTTCGTGATTGTTTTTGCTGCCGCTGTGGCTGCGGCTGTGATTGTTGTTGTGGTTGCGGTGGTGCCGGTGGTGGCGGCGACGGTGGAGGCTGCTGTTGTTAGCTCCTGGTTGTATATATGTACTTAAAGATTTTTTTTGCATCTTATCCATGCCTCCCTTTTCTTCTACGTGGAACTCTGAGTCTAGGCTAACTTAAGATGCCACCTCTGACAGTCATTTGGGATTTAAGCCAGGATTGTGTCCTTCACAACTAACAACGCATGATAACTCCTATTAACATAATATTTTCAATTCAGAGGTCCTGACAAATCCACACACACGTGCACTGACAGACGTCAACCTATCATTTCAAGTCTGTAAAGCAGTGCTTTTTAGTTTGAGCCCACACACCTGTTACCTTGCCTACGCTTTCAGTTACAATTGCGTAGTGAAAATACTGAAAGCGATGCAGAGCACACCCGATCCGTGGATAAGATGTACTTTCTAGAAGGCCCTAAGAGCCCCTCAACTTCTATTGGTGGTGGTGGTGCTGGTGGCGGCGGCGGCGGTGGTGGTCGATTTGTCTGTGAGACTGTCCGATGATAAAAGTGCTCAATGGTACCTTAATCATATTCTTTAAGTTACTTGCTCATTTGCACCACCTCTACACTGACGAGGAGTTTTCGAAATCCAATGCAGTGGTGATGCGTCCAAGCACTAAAGCTTGCATGGTACTCCCTCTACTTTTTTATTGCCCTTCTGAATCAGCTTAAAGTGCCATCCAAGTGAGAAGATGGTGGAAAACAAGGTGGAGATGGAGGTGAAGGTAAGCCTAAAGGAGTCACCGTAGGGTACGGTTGCAGCCGAGGCTGCGCAGGCAACAGATTGGGCAATTAGACTACCAGATATAGTAACCACGGTCAGGCAGGCAAGCAAGGGTGAAGAAGGGAGTGTTTCCTGTTCTAACCACAATATATCGGCGTCAGGTAAATAATTAAAAATTTTTTCGCTTCTCGCAACACCTTTTACTTGTGTTTAAGGACCCAACCTGATTGAAAGTCTCTTCCAAAAAGGAAAGGCGAAGAAGGGTGTAACAATCAATTGTTCCCATCCATGGGTGGATGTGGAGTGCTGTCAGTTGTCATGTTGTTGACCATACACACACAAGGGGATCTTAAGATAATGCATCACTTAAAACGGTTGGGAAAAGGCACAGATTTGTGGGTATAAATCACTCCGAAACAGCTGTATCACGTTCGAAAAGCCAGTTTGATCTTTAAACTTGAGAATAATATCGCAAAGGTATAAAAACTCCAATTATAAACTCATTTGGAGATTAAAAGGCCAGAAAAATATAGGGATAGAGAAAGGGAAAAGAAATAAAAAATGGCAAGAGGAAAGCAAAGAGGGAGGAAAGGAGTGGTGTTGCTTCATTAGCGGCCTCATCTTCCGTGTTCCACGCACAAATCCACCATTTAGGTTTCAGAACTGTTCAACTGCCTTAAATCTTTATTAGTAGTATGTTAATACATAATGCATTTAGTGTTCAACAATTTTTGCTAAGTGGCGGGTATTCAAAAGAATTCTCTGGAGGCGATTTGCTAGAAAGTTACTTGTTTACCCCTCTCCCCATCCAGCATTGACCTTCACTTGTAACTACTGCGAATGGTGGGACCTAAAGCGCCTTTTTAATTAAAAATTCAAAGCATATCAGAAGTGCCTGTGATTGGAATGTGCAGGAAGTTTGCGATTAAGACGGCGCATTTACGAGTAAATGGCATCGCTATGCCAAGTGTGAGAGATTTTTCCACTGTCACGAGATGCGTGGGAAGGAGGAGAGAACGGCTGCGATGGTGGTCGTGGTGGTGGTATGCGAACCCGATTCTCAGCCCTCACCTGACTGATCAGGTGTGGAACAGTGCGCAGACATATAAGTAGCCGGACGGAGAGATGAGCGCGCAGGTGAGAACCGGCGAGACGAGAAGAGAGAGCCATGGCTCAAGTGACTACACAGGATTTGAAGACTTACTTTCTTTACTACCTCATCTACAAGACCCTTCGTGATTGTTTTTGCTGCCGCTGTGGCTGCGGCTGTGATTGTTGTTGTGGTTGCGGTGGTGCCGGTGGTGGCGGCGACGGTGGAGGCTGCTGTTGTTAGCTCCTGGTTGTATATATGTACTTAAAGATTTTTTTTGCATCTTATCCATGCCTCCCTTTTCTTCTACGTGGAACTCTGAGTCTAGGCTAACTTAAGATGCCACCTCTGACAGTCATTTGGGATTTAAGCCAGGATTGTGTCCTTCACAACTAACAACGCATGATAACTCCTATTAACATAATATTTTCAATTCAGAGGTCCTGACAAATCCACACACACGTGCACTGACAGACGTCAACCTATCATTTCAAGTCTGTAAAGCAGTGCTTTTTAGTTTGAGCCCACACACCTGTTACCTTGCCTACGCTTTCAGTTACAATTGCGTAGTGAAAATACTGAAAGCGATGCAGAGCACACCCGATCCGTGGATAAGATGTACTTTCTAGAAGGCCCTAAGAGCCCCTCAACTTCTATTGGTGGTGGTGGTGCTGGTGGCGGCGGCGGCGGTGGTGGTCGATTTGTCTGTGAGACTGTCCGATGATAAAAGTGCTCAATGGTACCTTAATCATATTCTTTAAGTTACTTGCTCATTTGCACCACCTCTACACTGACGAGGAGTTTTCGAAATCCAATGCAGTGGTGATGCGTCCAAGCACTAAAGCTTGCATGGTACTCCCTCTACTTTTTTATTGCCCTTCTGAATCAGCTTAAAGTGCCATCCAAGTGAGAAGATGGTGGAAAACAAGGTGGAGATGGAGGTGAAGGTAAGCCTAAAGGAGTCACCGTAGGGTACGGTTGCAGCCGAGGCTGCGCAGGCAACAGATTGGGCAATTAGACTACCAGATATAGTAACCACGGTCAGGCAGGCAAGCAAGGGTGAAGAAGGGAGTGTTTCCTGTTCTAACCACAATATATCGGCGTCAGGTAAATAATTAAAAATTTTTTCGCTTCTCGCAACACCTTTTACTTGTGTTTAAGGACCCAACCTGATTGAAAGTCTCTTCCAAAAAGGAAAGGCGAAGAAGGGTGTAACAATCAATTGTTCCCATCCATGGGTGGATGTGGAGTGCTGTCAGTTGTCATGTTGTTGACCATACACACACAAGGGGATCTTAAGATAATGCATCACTTAAAACGGTTGGGAAAAGGCACAGATTTGTGGGTATAAATCACTCCGAAACAGCTGTATCACGTTCGAAAAGCCAGTTTGATCTTTAAACTTGAGAATAATATCGCAAAGGTATAAAAACTCCAATTATAAACTCATTTGGAGATTAAAAGGCCAGAAAAATATAGGGATAGAGAAAGGGAAAAGAAATAAAAAATGGCAAGAGGAAAGCAAAGAGGGAGGAAAGGAGTGGTGTTGCTTCATTAGCGGCCTCATCTTCCGTGTTCCACGCACAAATCCACCA